AGAAATGTAATTGAATGTGATGTGTAACTCAGTGGAATAGAATACCATGTGTGTGATGTGGGTGGCCAGCAGTGTCTCTGTACAGCCTCCTCCAAGCAGGGCGTAGGGCTCCCTCAGAGTCAGTCGCAACACATGTTCTGCTCTCTTGCATGTCATCTGTCCAACAAATGGAACAATGTTCATCAAATGAGAGAAGTGAAAGAGGGAATTAATGCAAAAAATTTGAATGAATAAAACGGAGTCCAGTAAATCAAAAGTCATTTGGAAAATGGGGAACTTAGTATCACAAAAGCCGTTTGCACCTCGCTCTTTTGTCACTTAATATTTTATTTTGCTGCGTCAATCTGTTAAATTACTTAGTATATAAAGCCATGATCCACACTCAACAAAAATAGTCTTCTTTTTATATTACATTCATCACCAGTAGGACAGAACACAAACGTTTCGGCTGAAAGCCTTCTTCAGTGTGTTAAACAATTCAATCCCTCCACCCACTTTTTAAATCATTAATTAAATTGACATCATCATTCATTAACTAATCTTCAATCTCTAAAAGCACACGTAATCCATTTAAATGCTAGACAATTTCCATTTGTATACAACACAAACCTTCACATCCATCAATACATTGCATAATACACCCCTGGCTGGAACATGAATTACATATGATCCCATATTTATCACAATTATACAATCAGACAATTTAATTAATAAAGCCGAAAGTGTTCTGTCCTACTGGTGATGAATGTAAAATAAAACGCAAAAAGAAGACTATTTTTGTTGAGTATGGATCATGGCTTTATATGTAGTACTAAGAAAATTGGAACTTTAAAATACAAGAAACAAAATAAATAGCTTGGAGAACTAACAGAGAGGGAAGAATACACCCAAAATAAACCCAACAGAATGAGTGCAAAGACAGTACAAACAGGGTTTATTAAAGGGGTCATATGATGTTGCTAAAAAGAACATTATGTTGTGTATTTGGTGTAATGCAATGTGTTTATGCGGTTTAAGGTTAAAAAAACACATTATTTTTCACATACTGTACATTATTGTTTCTCCTCTATGCCCCACCTTTCTGAAACGTGTTGATTTTTACAAAGCTCATCGGTCTGAAAAGCGAGGTGTACGCTGACTGGCCAGCTATCCAGTGTGTTGTGATTGGCTGAATACCTCAAACGTGTGATGGAAATGTTACGCCCCTTACCATATTGTGATGCCCTGTGTCCCGGCGCGACAAGACAAAACCAATAAAACCCATTACAAACGAGGCATTTGTTGCATCCAGTGGGGACATAATTACTGATTATAATGACTTATACTGTCTTTTTACGCGTTGCGTATCGCGCTGCGTAAACATAAAACCATGTCTGGAGAAACGACAAACGACAAGTGCTACTCTACACTGCTCAAAACTCGCGTTTGAATCGTCAGTGGCAAATTCTTTAAATATAAAATATGTACTTACAGGCTGTGAGTCAGAAGCACCAGACTGTCCTTGCAAAGTTGGAACTGCCCCATTATAAATAGCTTGGAGAACTAACAGAGAGGGAAGAATACACCCAAAATAAACCCAACAGAATGAGTGCAAAGACAGTACAAACAGGGTTTATTAAAGGGGTCATATGATGTTGCTAAAAAGAACATTATGTTGTGTATTTGGTGTAATTAAATATGTTTATGCGGTTTAAGGTTAAAAAAACACATTATTTTCCACATACTGAACCACTGATTTCTAGTTGTCTCCTCTTTTGGAAGGCCAAACAAAATAGTTTTGCTTTCACAATGAAACACACAGTGCCTTCACGACATGGAAGCGGCGGCAACAACAATACTACAGCGAGAATAAAAGTTACGCCTTCTTTCTTTGCGTGAACATTTGGGCAGTGTTATGCAAATCTTCCCACATCGTGACGTAGACATGTGGGGGCGTGTTAGAACGAGCCGTTTTAGGTAGGCGTGGTTGACTCTTAACTTTTACAAAGAATATCTCTTTGGATTTGAGACTTTAGTCTTTGCAACTTTACAGATCTTCTTTATGCACCAAGAGCTTGTAACCCTTCAAAGAGAAAGGAAAAATTTAAATCACATCATATGACCCCTTTAATAGAGCGGGACAATACATTGCACAATCACGATATCTGTGTTGATTTTACTTGCAAAAAAGTAAGAGTTGTGAATATTCTGATGATTTTAATGCAGCTTTTATTTGGCCATTAGTTTCCTAGTCAGATTCTTCCTTGTTTCATGATTCAAGAGTATAAAAGCATTCAAACAGATGTTTTTAAACACATCTAAGACATGTTTTAAATTTTAGCAGCAAAATGGCATTAGAGTTGGTAGGTTTCATTTTGGTGAATTATTTCAAGCTGTGTGTTTGAATTAATCAACATAAAAACTATTATATTGGTGCAATTAAATGAAAATAATCTAAATGAACACATAAAGATCTCTATTTTAACAAACCTTCAGTTCTTCCAGCATAGTTTCATTTCTGTGGCAGAGAACCATGGTGCTAACTGCAGCATCTTTAGAAGGAAGGAGCTGGAGGAGTTCTCTGGATCCACATGACTGCAAACAGAATTCTTTAACCATCCCGTAAGCTTCCACTGGGACTGAAGAGCAAAGAGAAGCAATAGCCTGAGCACCTGAAATATTAAACACAGAGTTAAAATAAAGCTGATTTCTTTTCAATACTATTGTATATATGATGTTATATATTATTACCAATATATTAATCAAAGAAGGCATGGCTTTAATTAATAACAATCATAAGTATAAATACATTTTCCCTGGCAAAAATATTTACATTTTCATTAATGTATTTTTTATGTATAAAATGTTGCAATTTTACATATTGTTATTATTATAAAAAAAAAAGGTTAAAACATAGTATTAACTTTATTTTTTTAATACAAAATGTAAAATGTGTATTATGTATTTAAAAAAAAGTTTTTCTTAATTTTTTTTAAATTTACAAAATAGGTTTTTAATTCACAGTAATTGCTGGACATATGTTAAACCTATATTAAACTCGGTAACAGCTCTAAACTGATAGTCAATTCTATAAATATACCTTACCGTTATTAAATATTTACCTGTTAACTGGACAAACGGTTCCATAAGGGCTAGTCCAAGCCTCTCTATCACAACAACTCCATGTTTCCTCAAGTAGTGCTGGAGAATTGGATGTATTACTTTTTGGCATGCAAATAAGTTCACTTTGTCCATAACAACTTGTTCCCCAAGCTTCAGGAGCTGCTGAAGGAGATCACGCTCTGGGTCCACTCCTCTATGGATCTCCAAAGTTACATCTCCAACCTCAGAGATATCCCCTGACAGTGATACGCTGAAAAGCACCACCTTAAACGGACCAGATCCCAGTCTCTCAAGATCGGCATGCTGAAGCATCTCAGGGACATCCACCAGCAGTCCTGGGAAAACCGAAGAATCGCTCACTGATTGGCCCTCAATGCCAATGGTGACTGTCCTTCCAAAGCAGCTCACGCCGGATGAGTTGCAATGGATGGAATACAAGAAGGCCTGTGCGATCAGTGAACTGATATGCTTTGTTTCCCTGCTATTCAACATACAGGCAGGTTTGCTGGCGATCATGCTGCGAGCCAGTGCAATGAGTGAACCGCTGTTGCTGAAGTCTACTGGCACTTTACAACCACAAGAGTCTCCTTTAAGATACATGTTGCATTCTTCCACAAGGTGTTTGTATACCTTGGCTGCTGCAGCTGTCCTGAGGCCATTATTTTGTGTATTTTCAATAAGTCTCAGTGTGAAAATCCCCATAAACAGCCCACAGTCACTGTAACATGCGGTGTGATGTTGAACAGCAGTTGAGATCATTTTAAGAAGTGGCTCAGACATATCTACTCGTTTGAGCAGGGCTGTAGAGGTTGAAGTTGTCAAGACGTGGCCTCCAACATTGTTATGTATTTGTTTCAGTCTACCAGTAGGTCCATAGGCAGTACTGAGTATATTTCTCAATAGAGCCATCTTTTGGCAGATGTTACTGTTGGAAAGTGGTTCATCTGTGCACACAGCAGGTTTCTTCTTACAAATTCGAGACATACTATGGTTTCATTCAGAGAAATTTACTGAAGATTATCTATACAGGTCAGTTACTTTTCAATAAGCAGAAATGAATAGATCACATACTTAATAGTACAATATTATGTATGATTTTTTCTTCTTCTGTGGATTGATCAATGTTAGGGAAGCGTAACATAACATAACATATGAATCTATTATTATTATTATTATTTTAAATCAACATTAAGGTTACAAAGTTACAATTTATAAATGCATAAAGGAAACAGTATATTAGGTCCTCTCTTAATTTTTTCACCTTTTTTGCTTTCACTAGTTCATTTTAAATGGCCCCGTGATGTGATAAGTACATTTTTAAAAGTATAAATAATCTATGTATTCAATTAATATAAGGCCATGAAAACTGCACGCATAATCATTGTAAAACAGTTAGTAAAATGCTTAGCATGTCACTTCGCAAGTAGTTGACGTTAACTACCCATTGAAATCATCTTGAAATTACTTGATGGCATTACAGCAATCATATGAAAAAAAAAATCGTTCCTGATTTCTATTCAAAACAAACGAAATATCTTATAAAAGACGTGTAAAATGTACCACGTGAGCCTTGTAACTTACATACCCTATAGTGCAGCTTATCTATCAACTAACTAACATATTAGAAAGAAAAACTTTAGGAAATTAAAACCTTACGGTAAAAGCCAAGAAGATGGTGTTTACGTCTTCAACATGTTCTCATATGGTGACCAATACATGCCAGTTATAAAGTATTTAACAACAGAAACCCATAAAACACTCATTGGATTTTAAATCGCAATTATTATACATTAAATGAAAGACTATAATTTTGTTTAGCGATATATCATCATGGATATTTCACAATTTACTTGGAACAACGAAAGCGACTGTCTGGCAAAGTATGCAGCCGCCTAAATCCGACTGTGTTTCCATGACAACGGCACTCGCCGGGGTCCTAACGTCCGAGGGCAAGTTTCAAACCATTGGCGGGAGAAAATGATTAAAGCTTCTTTCATTATCGCTATTTTATTGTTATCCTCGAGTCGTTTTATTTAAAAAAATATCAATTCTATATTGTAAATTATATCTAAACAACCCATCAATATCATAAGAAAAGTCTGTGAGCTCTGCTTTAACGTTACCGCCCTTCCTTCTTTTGACTTTCTACAACTTCGTCTAACTGCATCTGTCACAAACACGTGAGTATTTCACGCTATGCATTTGAGTTTCATTACAGCCTATATTCATGTTTTCAGCAATAAACATATTTTTGGGTTTCTCTAGATCTCTGCGTCTCTTTCATCAGAATGCAATCTTCTAAATTTGTAGGCAAGGTATGTGAACATTTATTTTATCTGCTGACTGTAGAAACTTGGCCATTGCTGTAGTATTTTGTGTTAACATTATTGTTTTTCATTGTGATTAAATTAAATGTGCAAAAAGTAAATAAATAAAATATAATAATGACAGAACTTTTTATGACATTTACTTTTATGTCTTAATTATGACTTTTATCTAATTTTCACTTTTACCCAATCATTTTTGTATTTTAATGTCATCATTTTTTACTTTTTATGACATATCGGCTCTTATGTCACGATTATGACATTTTAGCTCATCATTTACATTTTTTTTTTTACCTTTTGTCTCTGAATTTTGACTTTTTGCTTCATAATTTTGACTTATGTCATAAATAATTATGACTTCTGTCATATTTATGACTTTATCTCATTTTTATCCCTTTTATGTTATAATTATGATTTAAAAAGTCAAAATCATGACAGTCATAGTTTTGATATTTGACTTTTTATGACATATTGACTGTTATGCAGGGGTCTCCAAACTCGGTCCTGGAGGGCCGCTGTCCTGCAGAGTTTAGCTCCAACTTGCCTCAACACACCTGCCTGGAAGTTTCTAGCATGCCTAGTAAGACCTTGATTAGCTGGTTCAGGTGTGTTTAATTAGGGTTGGAGCTAAAGTCTGCAGGACACCGGCCCTCCAGGACCAAGTTTGGAGACCCCTGCTTTTATGTCATGATTATGACATTTATCTCATAATTATGATTGTTATCTTATCTTTTTTTGTCTCATAATTTCGACTTATGTCATAATTACGACTTCTGTCATATTTATGACTTTATCTAATTGTCATCTCTTTTATGTCATTTGTATGACTTAAAAAGTTGAAATCATGACACATTATATCAGGGGTGTCTATTTGATGAATTAAACACACCCAATCCAACTAATCAAGTCCTTCAGGCTTATTTAAAAACGACATGGTATGTGTGTTGGTGCAGGGTTTGAACAAAACTCTGCAGGGCTCCGGCCCTCCAGGAATTGAGTTTGACACCCCTGCACTATGTCATAGTTATAATTTCCCAAAGCATGATTTTTTTTCTTATGTGACAGTAATGGGCTTCTATACATTGTAGTGTACCTCATTGTATTCATAAGGAACCTTAAGAAAACGTATGGAGACTTAAGATCAAGGCTTAAAGTGGTGTTCAGAGCAGTTGAAAAAAAAATCTACCTGTACTTCACTTTCTTAACGCTAGAGGGGGGTGGTCGCTTTAGCAATGAGTGCTCTCAGGTAGTACAGCATTGAGCTGACTGAATTTATTCATTATGTAGTTTACTGAACATAGCTCCTACTTTTTCATGTTGCCTATTTGTGATCATTAATTGTTCAGCCTGCATTTTGTTACAAACCATACGAAAAAACTTTCAGATTTCATCAGAATGTTAGGGTTGCATTATATTTTCCGTACCATCTCAGTCGCTGTCTTTTACATTGCATCCCATTTTGATGTATTTATAATCATGCATGTATCTATCCAGCTGAATGTCTCCTCCGTGTTTCTTGGCAGCGCAGATGCTGGACCGACCGTGTCTATTCACTCACATCACATGCCTGATAAATGAATGTCAGTGCTAATGCATGTCAGATGTTTCTGTTAATTAATCTCTTTTCTTTTGGTGATGTTTCATATAGTGAAGGCTTAATTCTAGTTCCTGGATGCTGCTGTGGATCACACACATCCGCGTTTAGTGCCATGCAGACTCTTTCTGTCTTTCTCCCTCATCATCTCTCCCGTCTCTTTGTTTTTCATTGTGGGAGAGCGCCACTCACCAACTTCACCCTCCCAGTCTGCACATAATGATACTGTTATATATGTTGCTCTCCCTGAGAAAGGAACTGTCATGCCCAACATTTAAAAATGGGGAAGCAAACAGTATCATCAGCTGGCCCAGTTCTCAACTTTGCTTCAGTGCTAAACAAACTGTTCTAGCTGAGCATAAGACCTGTGTCCTCATTTAGATATTAAATATTTTATTCTATCCCAGATGAAAGGGATTCCAAAAAGGTTTACTAAAAACTGAAAATTCTGTGATTGTTGACCTTCATGTCGTTCCAAACCTGACTTTCTTTCTTCAGTGGAACACAAAAGAAGTTATTTTTAATTTGAAAAATGTTCAGCTTTCTGTCCATACAGTGAAAGTCATTATATGCATAAAAATGGCATACAGGTTTGGAACAACACGAGGGTGAGTAAATAATGACAACATTTCATTATTGGGTGAACTTTTTTTCCTATTAAAGGAATATTTCACCCCAAAATGAAAATTTGCTAAAAATATACTCTCACTCAGGCCCTCCACTATGTAGATGAGTTTGTTTGTTCATCGGAACAGATTTGGAAAAATTTAGTATTACCTCACTTGCTTACCAATGAATCCTCTGCAGTGAATGGTGATAAAAACATCACAATAATCCACAAGTAATCAACATGACTCCAGTCCATCAATTAACGTTTTGTGACGTGAAAAGCTGCATCTTTGTAATAAATTCATCAATAAGTTTTTAACTTCAAACGTCTACCCATAACATTGCTTTCTCCAATGAAAATGTTGAAAAATATGCAGATATATTATATACAGATCAAGCACCGTTGACAAGTGAAAACAGTCCAAAACAATTCTAAACAGTTCTAAACAAATATGTGGACTGGTATTTTGGACAGAAGTAGCCAGATGATAAAATTACTTAATGATGGATTTTTTTTTTGTGAACACAGCTTTTCACTTTTTCACTTCTCCTGATGGTGAGTACATTTTCAGCAGATTTTCATTTTTGGGTGAACTATTCATTTAAAACAACTACAAGTACAATGTAAGAAAAAATCCATAGCAAAATGGAAAAGTTACTGGTACATTTCTGCCAGGACATTATCAGTTACATTTTAATCCTAATTCAAAATACAGGTAAAACACCTGTGTAAGTGATTTGTAGATTGATTGTTTGAAGATCCTGACTAGCCTGACACAGCAACATTAAGTTGGATGTCATGTTTCCACTGTGCAGTGCAGTTAGGCGATGAGTTACTCCCACGTAAGTTGACTCATGCTACAAGTCGAGGCCCTGATTGTCTCCTTAATGCCTCAGAAGACACTGAATATTTACACAAGACCTGCCACGCCACTCCACTGTTATACCCATCTGGTGTAGGAGATGGCGGGAGAGCATGATTCTTGTTTTTTAGTATGAATGTTAAGTGCTGGGTAGTATGACAGATGTCTTGGCTCTGGTTTATGTGCTAGGTCGACTTCCCTGGTAGATACGGACCACACACTTGGACCTCCAAGCATCCTGTTACTGTCATCGGATCAAGGAAATATGTTGTCATTTCTGAAACTGGGATTGATGCAGCTTAACAGACATGGCAGATGTAATAGAATTCTTATGTACTGCGTTTTTAGATAATGTCCAAAATATATTTTTCAATTAATTAATTACTGCAGATGTTTAGATTTTCAAACTTAATGTAGGTAGTTTAGCAGTAGTTCTGTAAACTACAGTTAAATTACAGTGTAAGGATGGTTGTTTGGTTTTTCCTGACTCCTAATACTTCCTTTTTACTAGAATTCTTGGAATCTTTCTGATATTGTTCAATTGTTTGTAGAGCTTTACCAGGTGATATTCCTGCCTGTTCTTGCTGTTGGAATTTTGCTTCTGGGTTGCATCCTTGCATATGGAAAAAAAAAAAACAGAACTCCATTCAGGTGTGCTAACTTCCAGAGATTAACTCAGAGAGCACTTCAGAGTTCCTAGAAATAAAGGCCAGCTTAGTCATAATCACACTGATTTATTAGTGGTTTGTGTTAAGTTTTTAAAAAAAAACCCTGACCCTAAGTAGTGACTCCAGACTAAAAAAAATGGTTAGGGGTTTATTGGCCCATTGGAAACATTGGCTTTTAAACCAATTACTTTAATTTAGCTAATGACTTTTCTGGTTCAAATAATACAGAATTGCCAAATAATTTTTTAACAATATAATTTATAAAAAAAAAAATGTAATGGATTGTTTAGTATCACATAGCCGAAAAATGACTTCTGGTTTAGTGAGCGAGGGAGTCCATTTCGAGTAATGCCTTTTGATTTAAAGGTCCCATATTGTCAAAACTGAAATTTCCTGGCTTTTTTCACGATAACTGAGGTCTAGGGGCTATTTAACTACCATATAAGTTTCAAAACAGTCAGTCAAGAGTAAACTGCACATAGCCTGCATAAAGTAGCTGTGATTTTTCACAACCGTTGTGACTTCCGTAAAAAGTTGATGTCAGAACTACACCGTCACCGCCTTCAGTCACCACCCGAGCACCGCCCACAGTCCCACTCTCACAAAAAACAACATAAGGTAACAAGAAATCTGTAGACGCCCCCATAACAAAAAAAGACAATTTTTTAAACCTTTTCTGATAATAAGTGTGCGCTGCAAACGCGAGCATTTTTGATGATCGTTTCTGTCCAGTCTGCTCGTTTTAACGCGTTTAACCACAGCTGTCGTTTTGTCTGGCAGTGGCAGCAGATATGCGATCAAATTTCTAATTTGAGGCTGTATTACATCGATTCTGGCACCCAACATCACAACAAGATGATATTTTAAGCTCCTTATGTAGCTGAATCTGCGCTGGTTTGAATGGGCCGTTTCCAGTTTCCCCTTTGTTTTGCTGCCTCCAGCTAGCGCTGTGATGTCGGCTGACCCTAGTTACCTGTGGTTGGCCTGGCCGTGCGTCACTCAGAAAACAACAGGCCAATCAGAAGAGAGGCTCATGAATATTAGTTAGACAGGCCAAAATCGACCTGTTCTCAGCAGAGCTCCTGAGAGAGGAGCTGTAAAAATATATTGAGATGGTTTTTGGTACTTATACCGCAAATATATATTCTTAAGGACATCGAAACCTAAAATAAAACTCTAGAAAGGTGTACAATATGTGACCTTTAAGGCTGTTTAAGTGAGTTTGATTCAAACTGATAATCAAGTCTGAATATTTTGGGGATCTGTTTAAACAATTAATTAAAAAGATGATAATTTGTTCACAAACCAGACATCACAACTCTTGTTGTGCTCATTGTTGCATGGAGCAAACACCAGCACACACTCTGAAGATGTAATTAAAGAACACCACCTCATGAGATGATATCTAAAAAAAAACACATACCTTTATAGTTTTTTTCTAGAACTGTAAAAATACTGTCAAAGTTATGGTTTTCATAAGTAAAACTATAAATTACCATATAATTTATCACGAAGAACGGTAAAAGGACGTTCCCTGCGTGACACAAGTCCTTGTGTGACACATCACATAAGACTATTTTATATAAATATTTTTATTTCTTATTTTTGTTATTACAGTGTAGTTTTTAATTTATTTTTGCAAATCTTCACTTTTTGGTCACATTTTTATTATTTTAGTTTAGTTGCTAAGATTTTGCATGGATATAAGTGATGTCTCAAAACATTTGGCTTTTTGAAGAGAGGTGTACTGTTTGACAAATGCCATAGACCTTTGTTAAAGGAGGGACTTGAGCCATATCTAGAGAAACCATTACAGAACACCTCAGCAACCCCATAGCAACATCCTGGCAACTACCCAGATCACACTAGCATCATGGCTCTGAGTTTTGCATGTAAAAAATCTAGTTAAACTTGTTTGTGTCTCATAGCTCTCTTGTTGTTTAAGATTGACAGCGCTAATATTGACCCACTCGAGGGAACGCCAAGTGACTCATGCCATACAAAATCAGCAAGTCAAGACCAAAGATTAAAATTTTTAACAGGCAACAGCAACACCCGTAGATCTAAAGAATTCTCTTAGGCTCCGGAGACTGTTCGTCGACCTGTGACGCTCTTACAAAGACGAAGACTGAGCTAGACGATGGGGGGAGTTTTATTGAGTGAGACTGCTTCTGCTGCCCTCTGTCTCTCATTCTCTCTTTCTCTCTCTCTCTCTCTCTCTCTCGCTCTCCCAGCATAAACATCTGTGGCTGGTTATTGTTAGCCCCTGAGCTAAGTGCAGAGAAAGGGGATCTGGTTCTCACAGCAGTGATAGCAGTGGTAAAAGGGCAGGGAGGTGTGGTGGTGAACAGGCAATTGCTGCACATACGCTCCTGGGCCGACTGCCCGACACTAATGAGAGAGTAAGGGCAGGAGAAAGCGCAGTTAGGGAGGGTGAAACTGATAAGAGAAGGTAACAAGGGAGCATCTTGGGAACTGAGTGATGTAGACCAGAGCCAGGAATCCAAAAAGTTGAGAGCGACCCGGTTTGCCTCATGTGTTTTCTCAGCGATTGGGAGTAGAAAATAGCACGGCTTAGCCATGGACTTCAGTCAGAGTGGCGGGGACTGATTTGGTACTGTTCTGTTTTATTGTTTGTTTGGTTTCAGGGCCTTTGTAGTGTGTTTTTGGCAGGCCATGCTGATCTGATAAAGAGTGAAAGGTAAGAACGGGTTTAATCAGGAGGTTACTGACCCACAGGAAGCCTCAGGTGTATTCAACTAGGATCAACAAACAAAAGGATATAGCAAAAGAAAGAAGCAGTTCCTTGCCTCAAGCCCTTTATACAATAATTAATTTGGTGAAGACTAAGAAAACCTTGTATGATCCTATCTGCAAAGGGTTTCCTGAAGACAGTATCCCTCTTTCTCTAGAATGTGACAAAGAGCTGTCAAGACTTTTATTGCACAACAGTGAACCATTGCAGGTGTTTAACATAAGCAGACTAATAAATCACGCATGGATGAAAAATAAACCAGTGCATGAAAAGTAACTCTGCAAACAAAAGAAACTCAGCAAACAAACCTAGATTACATTTCTGAGAAATTTCACGTATCTGCCGAGGAATTGTTTAACAGAGGTTGTGTAGCGGCTAAGGTCAGAGATCACCTCTCAATTCAGCTGTTTTCTGACAGATTTTTTTCTTCTGTAAGGAATTTCTGTTAGACATTCAACAAAACCATTGCAAAAGTAACCATTGCAAAACTTGTTATCTTTTAATACCGATCTCTGCAAATACAGCCAAGGATTTTCTTGTTTACTGGCATAATAATAGACTTTGGATGGCTGTAGTATTTGTTATTGTGAAGTTTTTCAACTGAACTATTTTGAGAATATGAATCCAAATCTGTAGATCTCTTTTATTGTAGCTTGGTAATGCAACAATGTTTAACTTGCTTGTATTCATGCAAACAGGATGGTTGTTAAATGTACAAAAGCTCAGAGTGGCGTCTGCCTGGCTCTTCCATCCAATCAAACAGGCATCTTTCAGTTTCCCTCTTTAAAGTGATTGTTCATCCACAAATGAAAATTCTGTCACCATGTGCTCACTTACTTCTGTTTTAACCGCTTTTCATTGCCCATGCAATGAAAGTCAGGAGGTCCAAAACAACATCGGACCCTGGACACTGGATGTTCACTGTATGGACAATAAATACATTTTGTGCTTCATAGAAGGAAGAAATACAGCAAAATGATGAAGTGAGAAAATGATGCAGTTTTGCAATTTTGACCGAACACCTTTAACACCAATTGCCCTAATTCTTCATGAACCAATCCTCGTCAGTCAAATTAACTCAGACCGACCCCCATATTAGGCAATCCAGTTTACTGTTTCTCTCTGTGCCATAGTCACACAGGGCCTGTAAATGCCGAGCGAACATGCCTTTCTAACACTGGGAACATTCCTACTGTCTTCTGTAATGGCATATTTCAGATTTTGAAAAGAAAGTGGAGAAAAACAGAACATCATGCGATAACGTGGTGGTTCCAGAGGCAGCATAAGAAGACCACCTTTTCACCACCTGATTGACAGTTCCCGTCCATCCCTTCCAATGCTTTCCCACGCCACGGTAATTGTGGAAGGCAGTCAGTTGAAACCACTGGTCAGTCGCACAATGGCCACAGCACAAAGAAGTGAAGAGAAAGCCGCCCAGTGTTTTCTAAAGGATCTGCTGTCCTCCACATACACACATACATAAGGATGCCTCTGTTTCTTCTTTTAGCTCTTGTGTCCGCTTGCCTGCAAAGGATTGACTCTTTCTCGGCTTCAATAGCAGCATCGGATGAGATAGTGGATTATGGAATGAATGTATCTGTAAGGATCTCAGTGAAATAAAAACAACCTTGACACACATCCTAACAAAGCTGTCTCATAGCCACTTATTCTTAAAAAAAGACTTCTATGGACTAACACAAGGGGGCAGCCTGTCCTTCAAGTTCAGCAGGGCTGCCACCAAACAAAGTGTACACAAAGCAGCAGTTAGAGGAAAATATACTTGTCAAAAACAAAGCTATTTGGCAGCACGATTTGGCCTGTCTGTGTGCTAATAACGTGCCGTAGTCCTGCTTGACTGGAGATGAATTCGGAGGTTAGAAGCCAAACGAGAATGTTGGAGACGTTTTATTTACTCAGTCACTGTAGATTCCTCCGGTACGGAGAGGCATAAATCATTGCTTATGGGACAACAGAGAAAGAGACAGAGGAGATGTAAAGAGAGAGAAAATGAGTGTAGCCAGAGAGCAGTACTGAACAATGGGCTTTACCCAACACACCCTTCTAATTCACTCTCACATCATCCCTTCCCAGCTGGCCTCGGAGAACCCAGAACATTACTGCCTGGCCCAGGTCACTTTAGGACTTCTCCAGGGCCCACTAAAATGCACACTCTCTCACTTGTGTTCTATCGGGGTTTTATCGGGCACTCTGGAAATGCTCTAGAATGTGTTCTGGACTGTGTCTGGACTGGGGAATTTCGTGTCTGCTTCCCTCTGATGTCAGCAACTCGTTCCCCCCAGTGTCAATTAAATCTGCATCCCCACGGCATCAATGCGGCCCCATCTTGCTTTGAGCTCAGGTGTTGACATGCTTCAGCGCCGGCTCCTCTCTGTCCTCTTGCGGGTGGTCCTGGAAAGGCCTGTGTGAGTGGACCAAAGCACAGTGACAGGCTTGCTATTGTGCTCATGTGTAAAACATAATCAGGTTGGTGTGGAGCGGAGATGTAACGATTGCCTAAATGGCCGCGACGGCTCTGGCTCTCCTACTCTGCCGTGACTTATTGTCCCTGACGTGCTGACGCAGCGCTCCAAGAACCCTTTCTCTTCGCTTGGAGTTCTGCAGCCTCCCCGAATCTGGCCCTCTTCTCTTCTTGTCACTTTTCCATAAAAGAACAGGTTAGCAAGAGCATCCTTTAGTAAGGCATTTCCTCAAGCTGCAAATCCTTTGCTGTGTCAGTCTTCTGCATGGCTTTGGTTTTAACACCACCGCCTTTGAGATCAAGTGTATCTGGTTACTTACATAATACTAATGAGCTGCGTTTACAAAGCTTGTAAAACTGGTGTGCAGAGAGGGGAAAGCAGATGCACAAAGACAAGAGGAAGGGGATGGAGTGACTTGCCTTCAGCTATGGATTTGAAGGTGTCATTCAATCAGCTCAGTGATTACTTCTTTTTGTTGTGTTTAAACCCCCCATCTCTCTGTCTTTCTCTCTCAAAGTGTGGGAATTTCGCCGTGCTGGTGGATCTTCATATACTGCCTTTAGGCGGCCAAAACAATGCCAGCTGGTTCTCTCCAGAGCACAGGAAGGTATGGGAATGAGGGCATGTTTCTGTTTGTTTGTTTGTGTATGTCCTCTTATACTTCAATAGACTGAAACTGCAGGAATCTGGAATTTGGATCTACTCTCGGGGATCCCCCCATCCTTTTTCTGCCTTTATAAGATATATGTTTTCATTGGCCCATACAGCCGAAAAGCTTTAAATGATTTTCCCTCCAAGGTTTAACTACATGCAGCACTTCTAGTTAAATTTGAGCTCCATGTAAAAAGTTTAGGACAAATGTCACCTTGGGAGGTTTATCTTTGTTTTTGAGATTGCAAATATGTGTGCAAACTCTTATGTGTTTGTATGCACAGGAAGTGGGCTCCCTGATTAGAGGAGCATTGGAGCTGAGGGTGAGGCAGTTTCAAGAGGCCAGATACCAGAAGATCCAGCCCAAACCGAGGAAGGATCTCACCTTGACCGCCCCGCTCTGTCTTGAAGGTATATCACACATGGGCATTGTCCCAAAAAGTAAGCTGCGTCCAAAATTGCATATAGTCTAGTAGTACTAAAATTGCTTCGAAACTTACTTTGAGACTGTAAAAAAAGTATGTTCTATACAATATGAATATGGGTAGTATGAATACTGCATCCATATTGTCAATGTCACCTGACCTATCAGTACCAGTGACCTATTAGTTGCGTCACTTCATTGACAACTTCTCTCCCATAGCCTCATGGGATATTTTAGAGTGTTCATCATATGCACACTTCAGAATCTCGCCAGAAGTAATAGGACATCTGGGTGCTCTTCACCTACTGATTTATGAATATTATGAATTTGGAAATCTCGCATACTGCTTTTCGCCTACTATATAGTAGGGAAGTAGGAATAGTCAGATGAAAAGGAATAGTCAGATGCAGGGTTAGTAAGCTTGCATTGGCAGCGTTTCATAGCATTTCATTTCTAGAGTTGTTGCTGTTTATTTGGCAATGTTAGATATCAAACTGCATCATTTAGTTTATGCCATTGGCATGTGTTCAGAAGATGGTGATGTACATACCAATCTCTTAGGTTCATTAATGTCTGCTAATGTTTAACTATACTGATTTATGTTTGTTTGTTGTACCCATTTGAACCACAAATACCACTGTACTCTTCCAATATAATACCAAATATACATGTCAGGATGTGAAATATCTGTTATACCTGCATATTTGACAATTTGCTATAGGCTATTAAAATATATAATTACCCATGATCGAGCTGCAAGTGAAGACCTGCATCTTTCCCTCACACCTACTTTAGAAATGATCTCTCCTTCATAAACATGAGATGTGTCACACTGCTTCACAGCTCGAGCACTCTGTTTATGGCTGTCCCACAGCAGGAAGGGGAAGATTTCAAAACAAAGTGGAGAAATCGAGGCTATACCTGCATGCCAGCAAGAATAAAAACTAGTTGAGACTAGATAGCACTCCCCGGGAGTGTCTCCACCGCCCCCATAAGATATGAGGTGAATGTGTTTGACTTGGCTTCCTCTTCAGCATACTGTATATGTAGGCCACCACTGTTTTTCCCTTGATATTCTCTTATTGTGTTTTAACTATAATGCATTTTTACTGTATGTTGACTAAGGATGTTGAAACTACCAGGTTTTATTTATTTATTGATTTATTTGACTCATTATGAACTTCATTTGAACAACCCCAATATCAATTCTTAAAATCCCAAAGTCAGCAGATGTGTAAAAAATAAGTATTTGTGCAATATTTTCCATATTTCAGATCCCATGAGAACTTTTTTGTTTTGTTTTGTGAACTCGCTCCATTTTCTTGGTATTTCTGTAATTAGAGAGTTTCCTGTATTAGTATTTTTTACAAGATTTTTATATCCATGGACAAAAAAGTCATGAGCCAGTTATTTCTAGTGAATCCAGAAAAAAAACCTGCCTGACCAGTGTACCCTGATTCCTAAAATGTGCTATTCTTACTGTTTAGTGAATCGAATACCTTAGTGAATTAAACATACAATGTGGCCAGTATAGTTTGTTTCATGAACAAATTTAATTCAATTCAGTTATCATCGGTTTGAATTATTCTGAAAAACTGTCCTGTATGATTTACAGCATTGGTAAAGAGAGAATGAACAGTATAACTGAAATAAATGATTCAAATGATTCAGAATTAAATTGAAATCTAATCAAATTGAGTCATAAGAACGTGTGATTCTGAATCAAATCGAAAAGAGAAATCTGCTATCTGCTTTCGATTTCGTTTCACAAGCTCTTGATTGGATTTGATTCTGATATGGGTTTGACAAGTTTTTGACAAGTTCTTTCATGTGAGAAGTAGCGCAGGCACTTGGAATATTAAGGCATCAGTTTCCTGTTTGGGATTTGTCGTGTCCCATTGCGTCATGCCACAACATATCCAGTGTAGACAGGATCTGTGATTAAAATGAATTTTATTGTCATTTAGTTGCACAGTACTCGCATCCTGGGTAGACATGGTGTTAGTGTTTCACAATTCCCAAAACAAATAATTCTTATCAGCTGGCCAGATTTAGTTCGAAATGACATCACCGTTCGTACTTTGATTTCACTTGAAATGTATTGGGGCCTTAAGGGAGGTGGTTCGTTTTGCACAGGTAGCACTTACGCCTGTAAAAGGCTGACTCACTGCATGAGCCAGGTCCCGCTGAGAGAGGTAGATTACAGGGCAGTTAAGCTCATAAAAAGAAATTTCTCCTCTTTAGATGCTGCTGCCTCTCTCACGGCACGTCGAGGCACGGCTGCACTGCTGCAGAGGTGCTCATCTCTCTCTGTTCTTGTTGTTCAGCACTAATATTACATGCAGTTTTGCTCATTTTACTCATCTCCTTTCGCTGCTGGGATAAAAGTCAAAGAACAAGATAAAAAAAAAAAAAGCAATGAGGCAGATTGTTTATAGTCTGGCGCTGGATATTGGGTTTTTAGGATCTGTCAGTAGCTGGTTTCCCAGTTAAAGATTGACTTACCTCAACTTTCACCCATGATACTGTGGATGTGACCAGCACCTCTCATTAGAGATCGATTTCAGATATGTCATTAGTTAATCTGACGATCACATCATGAATCACTGCTCACTGTGTATATAACAGCTGTGAGAAATGCGATGTCTCACCCTTGGGCCAGGTGAGAGAACAGGGTTATTGTCTAATATATCAGAAAGACTGACTCATTATCTCTGACAGATAAGCATAACAAATGATGAAACGCACTCACAGGGTGTGTGCATGGACAGTCTGTCTCCTTCACTTGTGTCCATAAACATAGAATTTTAAAGTATTTTTAGGCCTCCGGCAGGAAATGTAGCTGGACTGTGACTGGGAAATACATGCAAGGGTCACATGCTCAGTGTAGAGGTCAAACACTAACCTGCTGATATCCTTCCCAGAGATATAGACATGTGAGGGTGCTCACCCAACAGATATGCAGTATCTATGTCCCACTTTTGTAAAAAAAAAAAAAAAAAAAGGGTTCTCACTGACTTTTCCTCCTTTTTAAGAAATAATGATATTTGGAGTGAGATGAACGGTATACTGTTAGCACTCCTTCCTGATTATTCCCTTTTCTTAAGAAAGAATTCCCTGTAGCCCTTTTATGACCCTGTCTGACACCCAGAGAGACTGTTTGTTGCTACGTTACAAGTGCTTTAACCTAATCTCTGATGCTGCAGTTTCAAAATAGAGTTATTAGGTTTAAACGGAGAACATGAGCTAATTAGATTGTTGCTCAAAGTTTCTGCCAAATAATTTTTTTAAGATGAAGCTAAATCAACTCGCTTGTTTTCCTTTTCTTAACTTACTCTCACCTCATTTTTCCAGGAGTACTTTTACTGAGAAAACCAGGGTCACATGCTCAGTGTAGAGGTCAAACACTAACCTGCTGATATCCTTCCCAGAGATATAGACATGTGAGGGTGCTCACCCAACAGATATGCAGTATCTATGTCCCACTTTTGTAAAAAAAAAAAAAAAAAAAGTATGATATATATATAGGAATTCCTGTATATTAAATATATACTTTGTCATACTCAACCCCTAAATTTAATGATAAATATTTTTATGACATTTTATATGATAATACATGTGATTTGGTTCATTTTCTCAGTCGGACTTAGCATAAATGGTCGATGCGTTTTGTAATGCAATTAAATTGACCAAATACCTTGTAAAGTCTACTTTGCAGCACACGTGATTCAGGTGATTGAAACGTACCCAAAGAGTTTTCCCTGCGATTTTCCCAGTCACAGAACATGTGACCACTCCAGCTGTCGGCTATCAACAGCTATTAACTCTCCCCTGATCCTTTTGTGTGAACTCACTCATACACCAGAGACATTTTTTCCCTCTCTTGTATGTGTCGGCCCACTTAAATCTACATAGTTTAATCATGCATGCATGAAGCATGGTGTTTTGTGTTCATTCTCAGCATAGATGTATCTGTTGTCAACCTGTGTGTGGCGGTTTGTGCGTGCATGTTACATTTATCACATCTAGCGAGCGTGTCACATGCCGACACATTTCCTGAGCAGTCTGTTCTGCTCTCAGCTGCAAAGGCCATTTTCCAAATGTCAGCCCTCGTAGCTTCTCCCTGATTGGCTACCTCATGCTTCCCCATTAGCTCATAGTGAGTTGATTTATTTATGCTTTGGAGAGGGCGGGAAAGGGGAGAAAGGAAAACTTGAAATCGCATCATATGACCCCTTTAAAAGATCAGTCTGGCAATAAAGTTCACGAAAGCGACCCAGTTTCGAGTGAACGTACACTCATGTGAGAACCTAATGAATGACACTCTTTGCATTCTTTCAGTTTGGAATGCAAGTCATTTGTGTGAAATTGATTTTGCATGAATCAGTGTATCGAATTTGGGCACTAGCAATGATTTTGATAGACGAAACATTGGGACACTGATGATTCAGTCATCAGTTGCAACATGACTATGTGGTTACACATTAAAGCATCACTGGCATTTATCCACAAAATTGCTGTATAACATGCCAGGACCGAAATCTAGTACTATTTGTTTTGCTTATGGTGCATCTTCAAGAACCGTTAAAAGTACTGTCTTCATGCAATATGCACTCTTCCTACTTTTATATCCACTTGAGAGACTGGCAAAAACATGACATCATTTTCAGTAAGTGAACCTAGAACTAATTTCTTATTCAAACAGTGTACAAATCTTTCTGTTATTTCTAGGGATGCATCGATATTAAGGGTTGCACCATTTAAATAGTATATTCTGTACTATTTAGTAAAAAAAAGAAGAAATTATTATTGTTTTTAAAGATTACGACAAAGGTAATCTAAATGTAAAAACAAGATAAATGAGTATGCACAATTAAAAACCCAATACTGGATGATATACACTACTGTAAAAATTTTGGGTTCAGTAAGATTATTTATTTAAAATAAATTAATGTTTTTATTCTCCACGGGCACATTAAATTAATAA